AAAATATTAAGCCATTCCAGAGAAATTTAAATTATAACCAGAAACAACCTTTCTGTATTCCCCCATATAATATTATACATATTATAACGTTAGATATATTTCATTATTATAGATAGGTTTTCGCAATTTAATATACTGTTACACGTCGATAGTTAGTTGTTTTGTAAAAATTTTGTAGGTCAATAGTAAACTTTAGTAAATATTTACATAAAATGTACACTACTTATATAATTACAATGCTTTATATAATATTAATATTTTTATATTTTAATCAAGAGGAAAACAATTTATTAAATAAATAATGTCATATTTAAATATGATGATTAATATAATTGGATTTTCATTAAAAAAAAGTATTTTTAATGTTTTGTAATGACCATGGTGTTATTATATTTTTCCCAATTGTGTGAGTATTACGATGTAATTGAGTTGAAAACAAAATATCTATTAAATATAAATTATTATATATTAATCAAAAATTTTATGTCACAATTTTTAAATTAGATATTTACCGATAATAATGTACTCCGGTTATAGGGAATAAATCCCCCGATTGTGAACCCCATATACGTGTTATAGGACTGAGCCTTAAGGCACCGGTAGTTACGAAACGAGTTCTCAGACATATTATGAGAGGAAACGTCCATTTTATCCAAGTGTTTGAAGAATACCTGAACCGATGTCTGTGGCATACCATGGATCAGACAATGGACAACCAGTTTTGAAGAGGGTATTATAATTGCTAGAATAAGGTCGAGCTGGATGACCTGTTTCCTGACATTAGCTATATATATGAATACCATTATTGATATGATATTCACCAGAGTTTCCATGAAATTAATAATATATATCCAATAAGTGTTATCCAACTCACAAATTATATCGTGAATATCGTTAAACTTTTTCCTGATTTTTTCCATATTGCTAAAATGTCCAAGATGCTAAAATAATTTTTTAAAAATATTATTTACTACAATAAAACTATCAATTAACTTATGAAATAAATTATTTGATATTACTTTATGTATTTCTTGACATAAATTGTCCATTGTTTCAGCCGCTGATAATGATATGCCTAAATATTTTTAACATTATGAATGCATTAAATAAATAATATTTTAAAATAATTATGTTTGTATGCACCATACCCGTCATAACCAACTGTACAGTAGATTGACCAATACAATTATAGATATAAATAATAATGTCAATCACCAGCATTAAATTATAGGTTGCTGTAGCCAATACTCCCATTAGTTTAATGATCATTAAAGCAAAAACTAAGATGTGCAAGCTTAAAATAATAGTTATATTTTTTATCCATCTCATGAATCCAAGTTTTAGCCAGACACTTATAATATGAGCCCCATTAACAGGTATGTATAGAAAGTTGATATAAATCTGAATAGTGTTTATCCAACGAATTATAACCTCTATTATATAAATAATAGGAAAGTCATGTTTAGCCACAAATGTAACAGCTGTAGTGTTTGCCGTGATAATTGATCGAGCTACATGGGCGACTAATACACCCCCAGTGACCATAAAACCGATCAATTTTAGAGGTTTATTATGAGAGATAGTTTTCCCATTTGTGATACATATACCGCCAAACGTTATACCAAAACAGCGATAAAAGTATATAAATAATCTTAGGAATAGAGTATTATTTATATCACTGTTTAAATCCATTGTATGTGATATGAACTAAAATTTATAATTAACGTAAAGTTGCTCTGTTATGGTCTATAACACCAATATTTTTAATCAAAAAATGATAGTGTTATATATTTACAATAATGTATTTATCCTTGATGTTTGTACAGTATATTGTCATATATTTACGTTATAAATATCGCTAAATACATTACTGTCTCTTGCTCTCAAGAATACATCAAAATAATTAATTTTTGAATAAAATGTAGCAAATCTATTCATGTTAACAAATATTTACTTGCCAACATTTCAAAATATATGGTTTTAACAATTTTATTACATGCTTTTGTGTATAACATGTACCAGTATTTTCCCAACCCATTACTGATTTAGCAATGAAATTAGACTAAAATGTGTAGTGGTTTTATTTTAATATTAATTGTTCCTTGGTTTGTTTACTTATATTATATAAGTTATATAACAAATCGCGAGTGTTTATCATTTGATCGCCTACACTGTAATCAGTAGTGATAATTGCAACACTAAGTAAACATAAAATATAACTCGTGTACTAAATTGTCATTCATTAGTAATTATTTTTTACTATAAATTTATATTTAAATAAATATATTCTGAATACACTTATTGCTTGACCACTATTCAAATAATGTGCTAGAATAGTGTATTGTATAGTAAAGTATATTGATACATAAAACACCTGTTTACTAATTTGACAACGTGTATATAAATATCTTATGATTACACTATATTATTAGCAATATTTAATTTAGTATATTACTGTTATTCCGGTAATATTTAGAAATATTTCACTAAATTATGCGTCTATTTCATCATTGAATTTCTTATAGTAAATGTGATTTTGATAAATGTAGTGTTAATTTATTGAATGCCACATGGAGTATTAACAATATTATTTTATTTGTGATTCATAATTAATGATGAAATATAAAAATAATTGTGTGTAAATTATATCAATTTATTAAAATTACTATAAATATAAATCTATTTAAAAAGATGTTTTATGTTTTGTTGGAAATTTTGCTTAACTTTAAATTAATTGTTTGATTTTGATATTAAATAATTTATACATTTTATCATGAATTCAAGTGAATATTTTTGGGTGAGCTATGTATTAAATTTAATTTAAACATACTAAATTTTAAAGTTTGTAAAATTTAAATTAGGATTTGAGTGAATATCTCAATATAGAGAATACATACACAGAATTCACACTCATTTTCATACCGTTCCTCTCACTATGTACGCCAGTATTCTATGAATTGCTCAGTAAGTCAAGTAAACATACCTCAACAACTATACGACATCCCCTTCCTAGGACTACGCTCTTATTGGCCAAAATTGTAACTATTTAGACTATGTACTAGGTCAAAACTTATTAACCAAATTTATAAATTGATTTTTCAGACTTTAACAGCAGTGCTATTAGTATTAAGTATTATACAACTTGTAAACACAATTCACGAAACATTTAATGATTTTTATGGTGCTGGGAATTACCTACAAATTGTAACACAATTTATTAAGACATTAAGTTTTGTAAGTATAAATAAAATTTTAATTTGTTAGTGGCAATAATATTAACTTTAAATGTATTTTTATATAAAGTTTTATACAATTACTTTACAAAACAAACCCCCAAAACATGGGATCAATTCTTCCGGAGTTTTATTATCTATATTCTGGTTATTCTTGTCGATGGGAACCGCTTTTGATTATTTAACAAACTTCTGGATTAGATTCAGTGATGTATTAATATGGCATTTTAAATGTGTTTTCTTTCAATCATTAAAGACATAACTATTTTTTAGTCATCCATTGACTCGAGTGTTGATATCTTTGGGTATTCAACGAAATCCCTTTCGTTTCCACTAATTATCGTTCAGTTATTCCTCTCGTGTTTTGCGGACTCTACTCAAGACATCACTTCCAAAATTCCTGAAGTATTTCTTATGATAGCCTTAAGATAAGACAATAATTGTTAAAAATACTGTATTTCCCAGAAATGTTGTCCCAAAACAAGCGCCTCATTTCTCTCGAAACTGACGTTTTCATGGTTCACACCAATGATTATGAAAGGCTATCGCAAACCACTGACCACTCAAGACATGTGGACACTGGAGGACAAGAACCAGACCTCTGTTTGTGTCGAAAGATTCAACAGATACTGGAAACCAATCGCTCAAAATAAAGACCAAGAGCATATTAATATTTTGATACCCATTTTGCGTACATTTTGGCCGACACTTACTGTCAATTCATTAATTAAACTGACGGCTAGTTTACTACAATTAACGCAACCCTTACTACTCGACCGACTCTTAACATACTTGACATCGCAAGCAAGTGAACCCGAGTGGACAGGCTATTCGTATGCCGTACTAATGTTTGTGTGCCCTATGATGGCATCAATATTGGACGGCCAGTACGAGTACCGGCAAAATGTGGATTCAATGCGAATTAAATCATGCATAGTATCCAAACTATATGAAAAGGTTAGCCTGTACAAATCACACAGGGTGTGCACTAATACCTAACCTCTCATTCCCCTCCACCCATTAGTCCATAATGTTGTCGAGTAGTGGGCGTAAAGAGTTTACGAGTGGTGAGATTATAAACCTCATATCAGTGGACATGGGTCGGGTACACTTTTTCTTGAAAATGTACAACACTTTATGGCTGAGCCCCATACAGATATGCGTATCCATAGCGCTGTTGTGGAAACAATTAGGTGTGTCCAGTCTGGCCGGCATTGCCTTTATGGCAACTATGATACCCATAAACACCATGAGTAACAATAAACTGGACAGCCTTTGGACACAACTACTCGAGTGGAAGGACAAGAGGGTTATGGCTATCAATGAGATACTAAACAACATTAAAGTAATAAAATTATACGCTTGGGAACAGGCGTTTATGGATAATGTGCACAAATTAAGGGAACAGGAGACTAATGTTCTAGATACTTATATCAAGTCTAGCACTTGGACTTCATTCACATTGAACGCCAGTGGACTTATTGTATGAGTTGATTATTTTGTGGTTATTTAACCATATAGGATAAAAAACATTATTATAATTATTTGTTAATTTATAGGTAAGTGTATTGAGTTTTACGGCCTTTACATTCAGCTCCGACCAGAATATTCTTGACGCAAATAAAGCATTTGTTTCGCTTTCATTATTTACTATAATAGGTAAGCAAGCACATAAAAAATAATTTTTAAAGAAATATTTTGATATTCTTAAACTAACTAATTCTGTAATAAAAAATTTTAATCTTAATAATTAATTTATTCAATAAATAAATAGGCTCACAATTTCAACAAGTCCCACGTTTCATATCGCAAACTATAAAGGTGTGTTAAAATAGCCTACCTTAATTAATTAACTTAAATTAATTAATTTTACAATTTAATTTTATTAGTTTTCAGTAATCATTCGCAGAATAAATAAATATTTAAACGGCAATGAAGTCAATGATAAGTTTATTACAAATGAAGTCAATGAGAAAAATCCTATTATTGTGAAAAATGGTTCATTCAAATGGGATAAGGAATCCAATGATAAAATACTCAAAAATATTAATTTAATTATTGAGAGAAACTCTTTGGTGGCAGTCGTGGGTCAGGTCGGGGCTGGAAAGTCATCCCTACTGTCGGCACTATTGGGAAATATGGAGAAAACTAGTGGCGAAGTAAATATCAGCGGAACGGTAGCCTATGTTTCACAACAGGCGTGGATTCAAAACACTACTCTCAGACAGAATATTCTGTTCGTTAATGAATACAATCAGAGATTCTATGAGAAAGTGTTAGATTCGTGTGCTTTGAGACCCGATTTGGAGATCCTTTTGGCTAAAGATATGACAGAAATCGGCGAAAAGGGTATCAATTTATCGGGCGGACAGAAGCAAAGGGTTTCACTCGCGAGGGCTGTCTATTCAGACGCCGACATCTACTTATTGGACGACCCCTTAAGGTATTAATTAGCTGTTTATTAGTATATGTAGTAGTATTTAACGCATGTTTCACTACCAGTGCTGTTGACGCCCACGTCGGCAGACAGTTATTTGATGAGACAATCGGTCCGAAAGGCATTCTCCGTAAGAATACTCGTATTTTAGTGACACATAAGGCATCGGTTTTGCCAGAAGTGGACAAAATAATTGTCTTAAAGAAGGGACTGATCTCTGAATTCGGATCATTCAATGAACTGATGGCTAAAAGTGGAGAATTCGCTGAATTTATAGCCGAATATGTGTTGAGACAGGAGTCGGAAGGGGTGGACATCGACGACGAGAAAGAGTTGGAAATGTTAGCAAAACTGAGACAAAGAGTGAAACCAATNAGGAGTCGGAAGGGGTGGACATCGACGACGAGAAAGAGTTGGAAATGTTAGCAAAACTGAGACAAAGAGTGAAACCAATTATCGAGAGACAAGAATCGCGTAACTCATTGGCCAGCGATGGTCTGGTGCGACGACAGGGAAGTCATATCTCGACGACCACTGATAGCGAAGACCAGAAAATACCAGAAACTGGAGAACAGAGTCAAGACGTCCTACAAAATGATGGGAAACTCATGGATGAGGAGAAGCCAGAGACCGGTTCCGTCAAAACCCATGTCTATAAGCAGTACTTTCGATGGGTTGGCGTCCGGTATCTGATTGTCATACTCTTGTCGTATATCATCGCAAACACCGGAGCCGTGGCGTCGGGTCTTTGGTTGAGTAAGTGGTCGGCCGATGCGCTCGACCCCCAACTCGTTGATGATTACAGCCTACGTCTGGTAAGACTGGGTCTGTTCGCTGGGTTTTGTATCGTGGAAATGGTGTTCATATTCTCAGCCCAACTGTCCATTAGTCTGGGATGTATGGGTGCGGCTAAACGGTTGCACCGGCTTATGATGGAGCGTATGATGAGAGCACCCGTCGCTTACTTCGGTATTATTTGTATTATTTTTTAACACAAATACTTGATTTCGATTACAATTATCGACATACCCTTCAGATACAACACCTGTCGGTCGTATTGTGAGCCGATTCTCGGAGGACATGGAGCTTATAGACAGTGAACTACTGTTTGATTTCCGTCTAATGTGTCTGAAATTTTTCTCACTTATCGTATCGATGGGTATGATATCTCTGGAAACACCGCTTATTATGTTAGCCATACTTCCCATAATCGTAACGTACGTCACGTGTCAACGCATTTATACCGCGGGTTTGCGGCAAATACGACGACTCATATCGACGTCCAGTTCCCATATTATCAGTCATTTTGGAGAGACATTTAACGGCACGTCCACCATCAGAGCCTACGGAGCAAAACAACATTTCCTTCGTGAATCGCACCGTCGTATCGATGAGAGTAATGCCTGCGCCTATCAATTGGTTTGTTCCCAGGGATGGCTCGCTATAAGACTGGAGCTCTTGGGCTATAGTATAGTGTTTTTGTCGGCTCTGTTCGCAGTGGTCTTCCGGGAGACAGTGAGCGCAGGTGTGGCCGCACTGGCCATCAGTTATGCCCTCAACATAACCACTCTTATCGAGAAGTTTATTTTCGGTGTCACAGAGACAGAGACCGATATCCTGGCCGTCGAGAGGTGCCTGAAGTTCATGGAAATGCCTTCCGAGGTATCTATTGATATGTTTTTATGTCTTGAATTGAGTAAACAAAAAGTTTTTTTAAACTATTTGAATTTGTTTTGAACATTCAAATAGTTTTGGTATTTTAGATGTTTTTTCAATAACTTATTATTTATATCAGATAAATGAGGGAAAAGGGAGTAGAAATCATTCAAAAGAGAATTTAGCTTAAATTTTTGTTATTTGTTCAGTCATTTGATAAGAATATTCTGTAATATTCTTGTGTTGTGTTTATTATTAATTATTAATTATTTTTTGTGTGATTTGAAGGCCGAGTGGTTCAACGATCGGACAAAACCGCCGCCCGATTGGCCACTAATGGGAGGAATAGTGTTCTCCAACTATAGCACCAAATATAGACAGGAATTGGATTTAGTGCTCAAAAACATCACATTAGATGTTAAACCGAGGGAAAGGCTGGCAATAGTGGGCCGAACCGGCGCTGGAAAGTCATCCCTGGCTTTGGCTCTCTTCCGACTCATCGAAGCCAAAGAGCTCCAGTCTTATAGCGAGCCATCCCTGGGAACAAACCAATTGATAGGCGCAGGCATTACTCTCATCGATACGACGGTGCGATTCACGAAGGA